ATAGCCATAAATAGTGCTTACGGGGATTCCTCTTTTCCCACTCTGGATTTCCGCCATTCGATGCACGACTGTCGTTCTCTCGTTTTCTTTGGCTAGAGCACGATGTCCGAACTCGTAATGGCACGCACGCAGCATGTGCAATTTCGGATGGAAGAAGCATTCTCGTTCACCTTGTTGTGGGTCTTTCCTTTCGGTACATGTAAAGTCATCTGTGTGATGCAGTTCATTAAACTTCTTAACGTATAGATATTTGTTTGACTGCATGCTCCGCAATGAGTATGTTTTGTATACCTTCGGAGTATGATGTAACTCCCGTTGGCCATTTTGTTATTCGAGTGACAACAGTTTCCCTTCTGTTGTAATAATTTATGAATGACATCAGTCATATTTTAACATCAGTCCCTGATGTGTAATAGATCGCACAAATTAAATTTTGGAGAGCCTTACTTAAGCTACTTTACATCACTTCCTTTGCAAATGTTTTGAAATGGCATATATGAAAGTAAAATGTCTTCCTGCGTTTTCGATTTTGCATGAATTTTAAACCTTTAAAAAGCTCGCATGAAGGATTTTTTTTATTTAACTATTGAAACTACCAACATAGATTTTTTAATTTAGTGATTCCTGACATTCCGGTACTCGTTACCTGCAACTTACCAGTACGAATCTCCTTACATTTATTGGGAAAGAGTTGTGGTTTGAGAAAAAATGCTTACAGAACTTTTATTTAAGCATAAACTTAACTCTATCCATTAATCTCTCGTACAAAGTTCATTATTCAGTCTAGTCTGGCTTACTACGTTGACCGGACCTACATCGATCTCATCTTTTTCGTCAACATATACTGTTGTGAAAAGTAAGCGGTCTTCACGTATCTGGAAGATTGATAAGCTCATCGAGAGGTAACTATATCCCAAATAAGTGGTCGGCGTACTAAAAAGAACTGAAGTACTTATCTTTTAATAGTAAAAACTCGTCAGTTTGTATGATTGGGAATACATGTCATATTGCAAATTTCTTCAATCAACGGTAGTAGATGTATAATCTTAAATCCTTAAACTTTTTCTAACCATTGCAATAGTTGGAATAGGCTGGAAATTTTGAAAACTCCGTATTGGAAAGTATCTCGGTGTTACGAGTAATTGAATATTGGCAAAGCAGTCCCGTAGAGTTTATGACCGTAGCTACCCCCATGGGTTTTTATTTAGTTGCTAAATTTGCTGTGTAAAAGTGATTTGATTTGCTTTATCCTAATAACACTGTGACACAGTGGAATAATAATGGAATTAGTCACAAATTATACCAAACAAATGAACAGGAAGCTGCAGGGTACTCTGACCTGATGCATTTTCATCTCATTCTGTCACCATGCAGTTGATTTTTAGGATAAATTACAACAGAAGACATGTGTAATCACAACTTTATATTTGACAGATGCTCACACTAAGGACGTGTATTGAGACAAATACAGTATATACATCTTTACTCATATACAGGCTTACAACATCCAGTAAAAATATTTTTTTTTTATTTTTACACACTTTAAAAGTCAGATATTTCATAAGCATATTATATATATTTTATGTATATAATTGCAGCACTAAGGGGATATAACTGTTTATTAGAATCTGAATTGTAAATTATTAGTGCTGGTTGCACTTACTTATGTGTTACTACTCAATATTTTTCCTTTAATTCTTATTACAGTTGTTTTTACCCATAGACTATAAACATTTCTGTGAAGGCTGGAACCAACTATTCTATTATTACAGGATGGCAGTATCTCAGGCATCTTTGCCATAATCTTTGTTGTAATATTTCAGCATGTGAGATTCTAGTTCTTCCAAACATAATCAGAAAATGTAATTTTCTAAGAATATTATGGACCTTTACATAAGCCTGAGTATATGTGT